TGTTGTGGAAACCCAAATTGAAGACCAAATTTTCTCCTTATTGATGACCCCTGGCGTTAATATACTGCATCTGTGCCAGCGCGTGATGTAATAAAATTCGTTAATGAACATTTTTTTTTTATATCCATTTTATACAATCCGCCTTCATTTAGCAAGTGCACTCGCACATAAACAATAGGTGTCAGGGTTCGGGTAGTGGATGGAGCGAGGACTCAGTACTGCAGAGAATGGCCTTTATTGATAATAAAAATAAACAAAAACCACAACAAAAACTACCCCGTGGGGGAGAAACAGGCTGGCAAGGCAAGGCAGGATCTGGACACGACACATCCAGGGAGAGACGATGACGAACTGACGCAGGACTGCAAACACAAGGAGAATAAATGGAGAGCAAATGAGGAGGGTAACGAGGGACCACATGTGGGGCAAATTAACTAATAATCAGGTAACAATATGGGAGGGGTTTTTCCTCCGTTTGTGGTCATTACATGCTTATTTTAATTTTATTTGGATTGGATAGAGAGTTATAGGTCTCGTGACTTTCGTCAAATTGTGCATAGAAAACTTTAACCGCAAACTGTTTATCATGGCTGCTGGCAGCGCATTCTTCAAGCATCAATTCTGATCATCTTCCTCTAACTTGATACCTTATGTTAAGGTATACCTTACGGCCTGAAACCAATGATGATCATAATCAATGTCCATCACATATGCGGACTGATATCTAAAAGATTTTATTCTTTTTATTCTTTTCACATTTAGATATAAAAATTTAATAAAACGTCAACAATAAAAACAGCTAGCTAGTTTAACTGATTATCTTAAAAGTCCATAGATATCGCTATTTTTTAATACGGCTGTTAACACGTTCTCCAACAAGCGGAAGCAATGAGACCTGTTTTCCGGGTTTGGTCTGGTGATGTTCGACATATACCCAGTTTTCAAGTTCAACACTTTTTGTTCCGGTCAGTTGTGGATGCTGCTGATTCACCGAGACCGCCGAGGCTCAGCAAAGAGACATGCGTGTGTGTGTGTGTGTGTGTGTTTTCCTTTGAAAAAGTTTCCCCAGAAATAACTCGCTATTTAATGCATTTTTCCTTACAAATTGTATTATCAGCATAACAATTTGCCATCCTTCTAGAACAATGTGCATTTATGTTAAAATTGTACCATAAATTATCAAGTTTAGTTATTTTTATTTCTTTATTGCAAAACGCTAAAACTGGCACCGTTTTGGAGAGAAATGGGCTCTCATTTGAACCCATATCATGGTGTGTGATGCTGAACTATGAGTTTGGCAGTCAAAATTAAAACTGCTGGATGATAGATATTCTTCATTCTTTATGACAAACAAGATCATGTGAATTACATAATGTACAACGTTTTTAAAAAGTATAAATTGCGGTGTACAGCGTTTATTCTGGGGGGGTAGAATCCACAGCTCAGTACTCACTACTCAATACTCATGAGTACTTTTAAATAGGCTACTCTTTTACTCTTACTCAAGAAGTTTTTTGGACAAGTACTTTTACTCTACTCACTACATTTTTTGGAAGGTAATGGTTCTTTTACTTGAGTATATTTTTTCAGTACTCTTTCCACCACTGCCACTAACTAACTGACAGTGTCACACAGTGTATCTCTTGCTTTCTCTGTATAACAGGAACTCCAGTTGCAGCCTTCTGGAATGTCCTGTCTCTCTCCTCTATTTTTCCTTTCTTTTTTGTCTTCCTTTCTGGATCGGAGCCGTCTGTGGGAGGAAGAGGTGCATACTGGGAGTAATTATGTTGTATATGAAATTATATAACTAAATGATATGAAATTATATAACTAAATGATATGAAATTATATAACTAAATGATATGAAATTATATAACTAAATGATATGAAATTATATAACTAAATGATATGAAATTATATAACTAAATGATATGAAATTATATAACTAAATGATATGAAATTATATAACTAAATGATATGAAATTATATAACTAAAATTAAATAACTGTAATTACAGATTTAGGTTAAATAAAGATGTCAGTCTTTATTTTTCTTCTTTTTAGGAAACAAATCAAAGAAAAAATAAACAAATTCTACTGTTCCTAATATTCTGTATGTTGCTCAAAAACAAAATATATATATATATATTTTTTTTTTTTACCCAAGCATTTAAAAATAGCACATTTTAGAGCTGTAACAACAATACTGTGAAACCGTGATATTTTGCTTAAGGTTAGCATACCGTCAAAATCTCATACCGGCCCATGCCTAATCTCAATGTTAGCTTAAGGTTAGTATACCGTCAAAATCTCATACCGGCCCATGCCTAATCTCAATGTTAATCATACATTAAAAGAAAAGACGGAATCTCTCGCTGCTCTTGATTAAACTACTGTTTATTTGCATCTTTGTTCTTATTTTTAATTACAAAGATAAAATAAATAATAGCTTTATTGTGATTAATAATATAGTAATTATTATTAAGAAAAGAATTGGAGGAAAATTTGCAACGTTGTTAGGTGATTTTGCTTTGGAATCTTCAGAAAACTTTAACTTGATTTTTCTCAAAATCAGATCTGCTGACTCTGTCACCTTCAAACGGCTGTAGCTCAGAACTCATTTTTGAAAATGTGCTCATTCCGACTTATTTTGCCAGCACCGCTTTATTCTATTAATGAGGAAGGAAATGTATTACACATGTCTGTTAGACCGTGAGAATAAATGTAAATATAGCTTTTTGTTGTTGTTGTTGTTGTTGTTGTTGTTTTTTAAAGGGTCAACTCCACAAAGTAAGATACTTTCTAATTTAGGGCTCCAATCAAATTCTGTTTTCCCTTTTTTATGTATTCCGTGTTTTATGATTTAATATCAAAAATGTATTTAAAAAGGGTGTTTAATGAAATGAATACAACTTTAGCAATTTAATCAATCTTTTAAAATGTAATAAAAAAATATATACTGTAATTTACAACAAAACGTGGCATTATCTTTTGTGAAAAAATGTGCTGAACAACAGAATTTGTATACTGAATAAATTAAAATATGGATGAAAAATACCTCACAAGCATCACATGGACTTGAGTATGTGTAATAGATGAAACTACTGTTTTATTTTTTGTTTTGTTTGTTTTTTTACTGCAGGTTTTTGGATCCTGCTGCAGATGAAGTCTGTCAGTATGTGATTGGAATTGTGGGTAAAAGCCCGTTACTCCTCAGAGAGCTGAATCTGAGTGAATGTAAACTGCGAGTGAATCAGATCGCTGCTCTGCTGCAGGATAAACACTGTAAACTCAACACACTGATGTAAGTTTTATCGTTATGATGACACCTTTTTAATACTTGTGAACTTGCTGCTGGGTGTGTTCTATGTATCTTTTACTGGAGAGTGCTTACTGAATAATCAATGGATGCTTTTGTAATGTCATCATCGAGCAAATATGTTTCTTTCAATGCAGTCTGAATAACAGCGATATCACAGAAGACGATTGTCGTTTATTGGCTGCAGCTTTAAATTTAAACCCTTCAAATCTGACAGAACTGAATCTGAGTGGAACTAAAGTCAGAAACTCAGGAATGAAAATCTTCTCGACTCTGTTTAAGAATGAACAATGTAGACTGAAAAAGCTGAAGTAAGTAATTTAGTCCATGTGTAAAACAGGCCAACTACTACAAAACTGATGTTATCATTTTTATATTACATGACGTTTATAATTTTTTTTTTCTCTTTTCCAGGTTTAATTCCATCTGTATTACTGAAGAAAGTTGTGCTGTTCTGGTATCAGCATTCAATTCAAACCCTTCAAACCTGAAAGAGCTGGATCTGAGTGGGAATAAACTCGGAAACACTGGAGTGACTGAAATCTCCAGTCTAATGAGAAACTTACAGTGTTCACTGCAGATACTAAGGTTAGGATTTGGTTATTCTAAACATGAATCAGTATGAAGCTCATATCTGGCCTGTAAATGAAGTCTAAAATTAACACTCTATACAGCAAATAAGGAATAATGTACATCCAGCTGGTTGTTATATCAGAATTTTTTTTTTGATTTATTGATTAAAGTCCTAAAACAGCTTTGAGCCTAGATGAAGTTCAGATAAGACAAAGATCATTTAAGGTGTAACGTACAGTCGTATCACTATTTACAAAGTTTTTCACCACATAAATAAAGATGAGGACATGTAATTTGAGAAGGCAGCGTTTTAAACACTTACATGTTAATTATCTGAAATCCATTGCAGTGTACAAAGCAATTGTTTTAGTAACAAGACAAAAACTTCAACAATTACCGCAGACCTACTATTAATACTGAAGTATTCAGGGTTCATTTGACAGTAAATACAGTTGATAACTGAGGCGCAAGATGATAGCAATTGTGATCGAATGAAACTAGAGACCACAGTGGGTGTAATATGAGAGATTTGAAAGAAGCACCATCCTTAAATCCTCGGATGAGTGGTATGTTATTTTGCGTTGCTAATGATGACTGTTGTTATCAGTGAATAACACACCTTGGAAATGTTGTAACTGAACAATCAGAATCAAGTTTTACAGAGAGCTGTGTAATGATTGCGGTTAAATAATGTAATTATTTATCTGCTTGTAATTATTAGTTAGGTGGATGCGTGTCATGAAGAACCTTTTTCAGTAACGTCACTTACATTGCTAAAAAAAAGACACTCACATTCATTTCTCTTATTAAAAACACTTTTGGGGTGCTGGGAAATATAAATATCCTAATGACACAATCCTCATATTGAAATCTTTTTAGCAAAGGAGTAATTACTACCGTTTTAAAACTACTTGTTTCTTTTTGTATTCCTCTAGACTCTCAGACTGCAGTATCACAGAAGAAGGTTATAAAGCTCTGGCTTCAGCTCTGAGATCAAACCCTTCACACCTGATAGAGCTGGATCTCAGAGGAAATGATCCTGGACCATCAGGAGTGAAGGAGCTCAGTGATTTACTACAGAATCCAAACTATTCACTGATGACACTGAGGTGAGATGTAATGAAATAATACAAAATGAATTACATGCATGCCAATAATTTATATAAATATTATTTCACAAATATAAAATAAACCATTTCACATGCAGAATCATAGGCTTTTTTAATTAGATCAAGTTTATTTAGGAATGTAATTGAATACTGCTTCATCTTTTGTGCAGGTTTTTGGGTCCTGCTGCAGAAGAAGCCTGTAAATATCTGAATGAAGTTCTTCACATTAAAAACTCATTACTCCCGAGAGAGCTGAAACTGAGTAAACGTGAACTAGGAGACACACGAGTGAATCAGATCGCTGCTCTACTGCAGGATAAACACTGTAAACTCAACACACTGATGTGAGTATTACACATGGTTAATAATGCTTTACAAAAAATGTTTTTGCAGTCTAATGAAACACTATTATTGTTGTTCTATAAAATATTTAAGGACTGAGATTAATTGACCTATGATATAAATGTATCCTTCTGTTACTTTATTAGTTTCATGTCTTTGTTTCTTTCTCTCCAGGTTGAAGAATGGCAGTATTACAGAAGAAGGTTGTGCTGCTCTAATTTCAGCGTTTAATTCAAATCCTTCAAACCTGATCGAGCTGGATCTGAGTGGAAATAAATTAGGATGCCTAGGAATGGAGAAAATCTGTCTTCTGTTGAAAAATCCTCAATGCAAATTTGAGAAACTGAAGTGTGTATTTTCATTTATGTTTATATACATTTATTATTGTTTATTTAATTAGCTTAACTGTACAAATGAAGGCCACAATTTTAGTTGTACTTTTATCTAATTTAGAGTATGACTGAGGCTCATATTCTTTTTTGAAAGTACATGAGGACAGCATTTATTAATGATGGAATTTCATTACTGGGATTTTTGCCAATATTAAAATAAAAACATTATATTGGCATAAATCTTTTGCACTTTATGGCAATAATTTGTTCATAACTTGTCTATTTAGGTTGTCAGAAGTCGTTCATAAATCCCGTTAGAGATATGATAATATATGTCTCCAAAAAGAATAAAAATTGTATAATTTTTTTTTAGACTTTCAGACTGCAATATCACTGAAGAAGGTTATAAAGCTCTGGCTTCAGCTCTGAGATCAAACCCTTCACGCCTGATAGAGCTGGATCTCACAGGAAATGATCCTGGACAATCAGGAGTGAAGGAGCTCAAACAATTACTACAGGATAAACGCTGTAAATTGACCATCAGGTGATTAAAACCTTTAAATATTTATTAAAATTGTACTTTTAAAATAAGCTTACATCAGTGAACAGTTGCTGTTTCGTGTCATGTATTGATCCATTGCTTATTAATCACATAATATAAAGAAGATCAAAATTTGCAGGGTCAAGTATTTATGTAATGAGGGGAGTGTGACAATGAAGTTGAGGATCCAAATGCAAGGGACAAAACACCAGCAAACAACAATGGCAGAGGCAAGGCAAAAGAGTAATCCACAAAACAGGCAATGGTCAGGGCAGGCAGCAAAACAATCAGAAACACGAAGGCAAGGAAGCAGGGAAACTATGAAACATGAGAAATAAGGAAACACTAGGAAAAGTGTCTACAAACATTCAATACTCAGCCCCGAATGAAGGAAAGACTGCAGCATTTATAGTCCTCCTGTAGGAAAGTCTGTAATTGGTTCCTAGGCAGGGGTTTCTGGGAAATGCAATCTGATTGGAAACAATCAGAGTGGTGATGGAGCACTCTGGTGGTGATGTGGAGGAATGACAGGCCCGTGTACGTTTTAAAAGTTTGTTTTTCAATTTGAAATGAAATAAGCAGAAACGAGAAAACAGTCGTTTTTTTTTTTGTTTGTTTTTAGTTTTTGTAATTTATTTTAAAAAACGGAAAAACAAGATTTTGGCCCGATTTTCGTATTTAAATTTTTTTTTTTACTGGTAGAAAACGGATAAACGGCTTCAAAATTAGTTTTCCCCTTGTGGGCGGTCATGATACGCCCCTTTCCGCCAATTGGTCAACCAAATCTGAGCCCGTGACGTCATCCTCAGTTCCTTAAACAAAATAATAGTCCTCTTCTGCTGTACGGGGCTGGTCCTAGATCGGTCTTTCTTCTGTGCAACCTAACACGTTTCGCAGAAATATTTATTTCAGAAATTTTAATCAGCACCCAGCCTGTTGTATTTAGCTGTGCAAAGTTAAATCTGTATGGTGAAGCGGCGCATAGACACAGAAAGGTTGAGAAGCACAGATTTAAAAAAAAAAAAAAAAAAAAAAGAAAAATCGACGTAGGGGGGGTCCCCAGATATTTTTTAGTAAAAAAATAATGATGTCAAATCTGTTTAAGCTCACGCAGTTAGGATACGGTACATTTCGTTAATTAATTATTTACAGTCACTCATGTGACTGAAGTCTGTTTTTAGGCAGTCAAAATGTAAATGCCTCTATCAGGGTCGGCGCCAGAGTGCACAAAGTGAGGGGGCATGCAAAATTTGTATTTATTTATTTTATTTTTTGTGAGGGGGACCTGTTTCTGAATATTAATTGATTTAAATCACGGAGACTAGTGTAGTTATGTAGTGGAAGTAATTTTCAGATGCAAAGAATAAAACGGGAAAAACACGAAACTTGTAAAATAATTTGATATATGAAGAGTTTGGTTCCAAAACGCTATAGATCCATTTTGATTAATTTGAGTAAAAAATGTGTTTTCTTTACCAAGAAAGTGGCAAGATGAAAACCACTATTTTCTGTTTCAAACTTTCACATAGCATCTTTAGGTTATAATAACATAAAAAATTCAAATCCAGATTTTGATTTTCAAAGATTTATTATAAAACGTTTTTTTTCCCCATTAAGCAATAAATCCATAACAGATTTTTTTTTTAAATGCAATAAATCCATTGAATCAATATAAAAGTAATTTTTCATGTTGAAACTGTTGAAAATACACAACATGGTTAATCCACATATGACAGGATCTGAACTTGGCCAGTACTAATCTTATATACAGGCACTGGACTAAAAATTCAATCAGTCACCGCTCCCAAAATGAATTCAACGGGTCATCTTGTTAATGCTATAAATTAATTACAGCAATATAGGAAAATTTCATCATGAACAAGAACATGAACAACAATATCACATTAGACCACAGAAATTCCAAAATGACATTTCCCTTACATTCAACTTCCAAAAGTGCATTCATCTTTGCCATGTTACATTCATTTAGTTGACTAGTGCTATACGCTGTATTAACAAAAACATTAATGGCATTAATAAAAACACTTACACTGACAAGCTACGCAATATCGCGTTCATAATCGAATGCGACTCATCTGCGATTATGAACGCGATATTGCATAGCTTGTCAGTGATCTACAGCTCTGTGTATCTATCTGAAAGCACGTGATGGAGATTTACTATTAATCACAGAACGGGCTTTACTGACGAGATGGGCGTGACAATCACCTAAGTTTGTTTAATGATCACAAAGTGCAAAGTAGATGAGGAAAACTAGGATGCCGGGTGTATTCAAAGCGCCGCCATTACTGTCTAGAGTGTGTGGAATGGTGCGCTGTGATTGATTGAGCGGATATATCGCATTCTGCAGAGAAGGGAGACTGGCGTTTGTCACGGTTTGGAAAGAAAGGGAGAAAACATGACAGAATAACTTGGCGGATATCACATTTTGCGTAAAATTAAAAATGTACTTTTCAACACTGACCAGATACAATACTAAAAATGGTGAGTATCGCGTTTTGGAACCAAACTCTTCATATATAGCCTACAATTTAATAACATATAGCCTAGTATTATATATAGGATGTTCGTCAATTGATTGCAAGCGGTCGGATCTGTGTTGACAGCTCCGTAAAATAACCTACTGGAAGCTCTCTATAGTTTTGGTGTATATAGTTAAAAATATGACAAGTAGGTTATACAAACACACAATAACATTTAAAGTTTCTTCAATTTCTGAAAAAAGAATGTAGTAATTGATGTCATAAATACACGAGCGTGATTTTTGTTTTAACTGGCAGAATCAATCGTACATTACAAAAAATGGAGAAAAAAAAACATTTGTATCAAAGACTATGAAAAAACAATGCCAGAATGAAGCCAGAAGTGCCGAATGTAAACCAGATTTGGCCCAGACTGTTATCTGGGAAGCCAAGCATAAGAATACTAATGTACATTTGTTAACCCACAGTAACGATTTTTAATCGATTAATCACCTATTTTAGTTTTCTGCATGTTTTTTAAAAAACACACAAAAAATAAAAAAGAGAAGTCACATATGCTATAAGTGCATAAATATTTATACTAATATTTATACTAATGGATAAATATAATTGCAGTAGGCTATATAATAATAATAATAATTCCTTACATTTATATAGCGCTTTTCTGGGCACCCAAAGCGCTTTACATAGAAGGGGGGAATCTCCTCAACCACCACCAGTGTGCAGCATCCACCTGGCAGCCATATTATAATTATATAATATAATCCAAGCTATAAACAAGCCAAAACAAAGCGAAACTGAAGGTAAAGTTGGGCTCGTATCCTACCTCTCTCAATCGGCACAAATCCAGATGTTTCCATATAGCCTACACGATGTATTTGAAGCTATAGCTATACCCATGTATTAGGTCAAATAGGTCCTAGTTCATGCGTGTTCCAGTATCGATGGAAAAAATCATAATGAGCAAAAATATGCCTTTGTCTTTTGAATTGCTTACCCTAATTAATATTTGATGTGGCTTCCAAATACATTAAAATATCTAAAATAAAATGAAAAGTAGAAAATAAATAAATAAAAGTGAAAATTTAGGAGTCCTAAATTTAGGACTGACACACCCATTATTTTTTAAGATTTTCTCCTAAATCGGCGAGTTATGAGCTACTTTTAGCCTTAAGATGTTTTGTGAATACGGGCCAAGATTTATAACAATTTGTTTGCATAAGCCATAAACTCGTTGTATTAACAGCACATTAACAGAGTAATCAGTTGCTACACTTCTACTGCTCTGATGAAAACAGTACAGATTTTATAATTCCTCAAACGGTAAACAAGTTAAGCAATTGTCAATAAATTAAGTAATTTATTTACACAAATGCAATAAATATTCAAACATCACATAATGTCCTCTAAACATTACAATTTAGTAGGGATTGTCGCTACAATTTTAGTGTTTTTAGTCCATTTTTCACATACCAAAAAAGTATCGCGTACATTGACTAATAACAGATTCTCTTCAATCTGTACAAAATGAAAAATATATTTGACATCTACAAAAAATTATTAATTAGAGAAAACATTCTGTATTAATTCTTAATAAATTCTGCATAAAGCCTTCTGTGAGCATT